TTTTTTTGCGCGTCAGCTGCGCGTGCTATGAACGAATTTATTGCTTCATTTCTTGTTGCATATTTTCAATGCACCTTGTTAGAGATGAACTGTTTATAAAAACAAACCAGTGATTTGTTTCTTCTATTGTGGCAGCAGAGGCCTTCTAGGCAATTTTCAAGATTTTTTTGCGAACAGCTCCAGGTATTTTGGCTGCAAATTTTCTGTAAGAAAATGGTAGATCTTGGTAGTATGAATACGAACCGTGAAGTAAAAAAACAGTTCTTTTATCGTTAAAGGTTTACTTCTATTTGTAAGACAGGAACGCCTGAAGGAAAATTATAGTAACCGTACCAATTTTTCTGCTGTTGAAACGCCATTATTTTATATTGCTTTTTGAAGCCTTCTCCTAAAATATATTTCAATTTTAATCAAATGTATCAGATATTGCATTTTTTATGAGCGTCAATGATAACCTATCGGACTTTAATAGAACAGTCTATGAGGTCTATAATTATAAATATTTAGTTCAGAGGCCTAACATTGTAAGTTCAGGTCGTTTTATTCATGTATTAGTACTCGCGAGCAAACCAGTGAAATATGTAATTTCGAACTCACCTTCAATAATTAATTTCTTCTTGAAATTACCACGAGATTGCTATCTTATCTTGTCATGTCATCTCGTCATCTCTCCCTCGCCTTTTAGTTAAAGGTTTTCTCTTTTTAGCGCATTTTCTCATTTATGGAAAAAAAGACGCTATTGCGCTCGCCATGTCTGTCTGTCCGTCCGTCTGTCTGTCTGTCCGTCCGTCCGTGACTTCACGTTTTCGTCGACGAGAAAATGCGCTCTCTGTCACTCACTGCAGTGAGTACTGAGTTATATTTTTTTTAGTTCTGATAGATTGCTATAGCCTCTTCTCTCACTGTATTTTTACGTTTGTTCATGAAAGACGTTTATTTGTTCGTTCAATAATTTCTTCTCCTAGTCGACGTCGTATTGCAATTTTTCTTGCTTAATCGCCAGTCACATTATTTTACATCATCACTTCTGCAACTCCAGGATAATTACTGTGCCATTTAAGCCAGTGTATTTTCTGTAATCGGCAGCTTAGTTGTTCTCTCCTCATCAGATCCTCCACATGTAGAAGTTCGTCTTGGGTCATCGTTGAGTCCCGAAAACATACGTGAAGGCAGCGACGTATACTTCGAGTGTGTCATCAGGTCCAATCCGAAGATCTACAAGATCGAGTGGTTCCATAACGTGAGCAGACAAGTTAATTTGATCATGTTACGGGGCCAGTACCAACTGGGCGTAACGTGAGACTTTGTCCTATCCGCAATAACCCAACCACGGTTCGTTACACTTCTTGCAAATCAACACAGTAACCGACAGGAGAATTAGGACGATCAATGCGTAAATTTCATTCAACAATGACGGTAAGATAAACAGAGTGCGTGTAAGTTGAAGATTTGGGTCACGACTTCGAATCAAGACTGCGAGGTCACTCTGTATGAGATAAAACTATTACAGACACTATATAAACGTACACAATGGGTCATGACTAAAACTAAATCACACAAAGTAAGAAGACCTTTTTACACCTATAGCTATACAGGTTGACATAACACAAATATATGACAGGTCACAATGAAGCACACAAAAATGATCCTCTTAAAAAATATGAAATTATCCCGTGCACAGTACACACCTGTCCCGTATGGTGGCGCAGATCGAGAGATCCTATAGAGCAGTGGTTCCCAAACTTTTTCAGGCTGGCGCCCCCTTTGGCTCGCTTGTGAATTTCTAGCGCCCCCCACAGACACATATAAAAACATACGCCTCTTTCTTGAAATTTAGTACGCTGCAATTTTAAAAGATAAAGGTTAAACGCAAATGTGTATTTCACAAATAGAACCCCATGTAGTGAACCAATATGTTTTTCAGCTGTTTTAACCGTTTCAGCACTAGAAACTTAAGACGTCTCGGGCAAACTTACGTCCGGACACGTGGCCGGTCTCACGACCAATCTCCAAATTCAATTATCAATTAATATTTCCCAAAATAATGAACTCAGCTCAATGAAACTTGGAACATGTACTCATCAGAACCTTATGGTGATGTTTAGCACCTGAAAATTTTTTTAATTTCACCTTCATTCGTGAGTTATATTGCGATACATGCCGAAATTCGCAATGATCAAAGAATTTCTTCCACACTACCGAACAGATTTGAACGAAATTTTGAACATACATTCTTTACTACCAAACGGTGATTTTTTTTAGATTTAAAAATTTTTTCATAGTAACCTTTGTTTGCGAATTTTTTTTTTTTTCATCTCGCCGTCGTTCTTGATTTCACACTTCCTTATATTCGACCCGTATCGCCGGGGAATTTGTCGCTTAAATTCGCGGCGATCAAGAAATTTCTTCTAAACTACAGAACAGATTTCAACGAAACTTTGTATATAAATACCTAACCTCCCAACGGTGATTTTTAGCTCGTCACAATTTTCCTATTTTGCTTTCGTTTGCGAGTTATACAGATATAGGAGAAAAGACCGGCATTTCTACCGGCCGGTTTAACCAAGAGCCGTTTACGTACAGCCGTATAACTCGCAAACGAAGGCAAAATTGAAAAAATTGTAACGAGCTACACATCACCGTTGCTGAGGTTAGGTATTTAAATACTAATTGTTTCATTCAAATCTGTTCAGCAGTTTTGAAGAAATTTCTTGATTACTGCGAATTTAAGCACGTACTGCTGTTTAAATCACGAATGAAGGTGAAAGGAAAGAAAACTCACGAACGAAGGCACAATCGAAAAAAATTTTCACAAGCTAAACATTACTGTTGGGTAGTTAGGATTGTAAGTTCAGAATTTCGTACGAGTATGTGCAGTAGTTTGGAAGAAATTCTTTAATCACTGTGAATTTCGGCCCTAATTGCCATATAACCTTAGCAAAAACAAATGAAGGCAAAATTCAAAACATTTTCACGAGCTAAACATTACCGTTAGGTCCTAATGAATACGTGTACCAAGTTTCTTTAGTTTGAGAGATATTCCATGATCGTTGAATTTAGAAATTGGACGTGAGACCGGCGCTAGTCGGACCATAAATTTGTCTGAGACGTAAACCCAGGAGAAGTAAAAAAAATATAACTCAGTACTCACTGTAGTGGGTGACAGAGAGCGCATTTTCTCGTCGACGAAAACTTGAGGTCACGGACAGACGGACGGACAGACAGACAGACAGACTGACGGACGGACATGGCGAGCGCAATAGTGCATTTTTTCCATAAATGAGAAAATGTGCTAAAACAGATCTGGGTGAAAAAAACCATCGCTGGGAGTCATGATGTGCTTCACGTGTTGTGTAAAATTCGTCAAACAAACGTTGGAACTTCTGACTGCGACTTCGGACTGCCGCCCCCCCTACTGCCTCCCTATCGCCCTTTTCTTCTTTACCGTCCCCCAAAATCTTTCCACCGGCCCTAGGAGGGCGATATCGCCCACTTTGGGAACCGCTGCTATAGATCTACTACTATTCCGCACTGCAGAGTGGATCCGGCAACATCGCACGGAAGTCTGAAGCCATTTGATCAAAAAAATGTAATTCAGTACTCACTGCAGTGAGTGACAGAGAGCGCATTTCTCTCATCGCTGTGTCTACGGATAAAGTAACCGTTCTTTTTAATAGCCTCGTAACTAAAATTACGTCGTTTTTAATGGCCTGGTCAGTGGAATAGTCGTTCAACTTCACTTGCATCCGATGTTTTATTAATCATCGGCAACATCTACTCACAGAGGAAAATTTCACCAAAGACAATTAGTTCAACTCAACTTGTACATATAATTTAATGAGTTGACTTGCAGAATGCTTCATCATAATTATATTAAAACTTTGCAATAAAGCAATTGTTTAATCTATATCAGTAAAAAATGATACCTTTCGCCATCATCTACCTTCTTTCATCCAATCAACAAGCAAAGATAGTCTGCATTCTCTATATCGAAATTGTTTACATCAATGCAAAATAGTTCATGATAACTTCGCATACATTAGATTAATTTTGTCGTTATATTACATTAATCCCAAAAAATTCATTTAGTTGTATTCGTTGGCACAACAGAACTCGTCGGTGCAGCACAACGTGTCGGGCGGCGTGATCGTGAGCAACCAGTCGCTGGCGGTGCAGCGCGTGAGGCGCTCCCAGGCGGGCAGCTACGCCTGCGCCGCCGCCAACACCGAGGGCGACGCCCGCAGCCAACACCTCAACCTCGTCGTCCAATTATACGATGCCGATCTTCATAACTAAATTAAGTGAAACAGTAATCACCCACCGACCGAAAAATGAGTGCCCTGCTCAAAATAAATTACAATTCCAAGCTCTGTGAACTCAATGAGATTGTTGCTTTCTAGTCTTTGCGTTACATGGTAGAATCTACTTGAAAGAGATCATTGTCTTCCTCGTTCTCATTTTTTAGATAATTGTTAAGCGAGAGCATCTTTTGTTCGAGGTGCTCTCAGTAGCTGGAAAGGCTAATGCATGGCGATGAATGAAATTGCGCCGTATTTGTGGCTGTTCATCGTGAACACTGCAAGGAACACTGAATATTGAATGACGATTTTTTTTACTTTTTTAAGCAAAATGCGTTTACCGAGAGTAGGATGTTGTGTCCCTTTCTATTTGGGAGTATCGATGGTTATTAAATGACCATTTTTTATCAATTCTAAACTATTCGTCTTAGAAAATTTCTCGGGCTCGTGAACATTAGGGTGGAGCGAAAAACAATCTTTTTTTTAAATTTGCTACCCGACTATAGTTTTTCTTGGTGAACAGATGCTAAATCAATCTTCTTCAATGGATTTTGTAAACAAACCTTTTCGACAGTTTACGAAAACTCATCGATAATTGCAAAAACATAAATTTCAGCGTATCCAGGACACACATACTCAATTTTCGAATGTTAACCTGGATTATTGAGGGAATTCTGCTGGATTAATATCAATCAATTATAAATCCGTAAATAAAACATGGCACAAGTGGATTCATGCATACCGTTTCCTCGATTCGCAAACAATATTATGTCGATGCGTAGTTACATCCCTTGATACTCTCCTAATCTCCTTAGTATCCATATATAGAATATGTTTTAGACGTAGCAGTCCCAGGTCACGATGGATCGCCCCCTCTGTCTATCGCGCATCCCCCATCATTTGGACCAATTGATGCACGATGCTGCTGCTTGGTTCATGCCGCTGGGAGTAGTGCAGCGACGGACGATCAGGAATTGTGGTCACAAACACGTCCAGTCGTCTCTTGAAGGTCTCCAGGGTGAACTCCCTTTTCTTAAATACTTTTGTAAGACATTGAACAGCCTCGGCCCAGCTGCAGAAAAAGATCATTCCTGCAGGGATAGAAATCTAAAGGCATATCTGTTACGTAGTGGGGGAATCCTGCACAGCCTCCCTCATCTCACCTTTTGGTATGTTTCAATCCTGAAGGTCTCGCTCTCAAAATATGGTACTATTTCGGTAATTATTTTCCATGAGTACAGAATGATATACCTATCTCGTTTCCTCTGCAGTGAGTACAGATCCAGGCGCTCATACCTCCCCCAGTAGTTCAACTCCTCCATCCCACTGATCCTGGAAGTGATGGTTTGCTGAACCCATTGCAGTTGCCGCACTGCGCCGATTGTGAACGAGGCCCAGAGAGGTATCACTAGGGCTCTCTAACACGCTCACTATAGTGAGCGTGTTCATCGGTTCCGCTTCTCTTGTTCATAACGTCCTCCAGATCTATCCCATCAGCCGCCTGCCTCTTGCGGTTATTACCGCTATAGTGATCACCAAACTTAACTTGCGTATTCATCAACACTCCTACATCGCGAACGAGTCGCTTCTCTTCGATTTCCGAGCCGTCAGGTGCCAGGTAGCCGCTCCGTACCATTTCTTCCGCAAACTCTGCATCTCAGAACCTCAAACTTGGTTCCATTGACCTGCATGTTATTCACTTGGGCCCAGTAATATATTGCAGAGAAAACTTCTTGCAACCTCTCACAGGCTGTGTTGTCCGTAATAGTCATTAGTATCCTGATGTGTGAACCACGATATAGAGATGTGGTTCACTAGCTGCCACATCTATGTCGTCGATGTGGATGAGGAAGAAGATAGAGCCAAGTGCCTTTCCCTATGGTACTCCAATCTTCTCACTCGCCTCGCTCGATCTCGAGCCCCAACAACGATAGCTTGTAGTCTTTAAGTTAGGAAGTTGTGAATCTATGCCAACAATGTTCACCTCCGACCCCCAGTAGTATGAGAGTTTCATTGTATTTTCCGGCGGGTAGTCAGGTGGCCAGTGTACGATATCTATACATAGTTGGAAATGGGAAATTGGAGCTGGAGCCTAAATGCTGGAGCACTTTTTTGCCGCGAGTGAGTTTCTGAAGTAGACTATGACACAGTTTCTGAAGTAGACTATGACACCTCCGTTTTTCTCCCTTCCAGCTAGTCCGCTCGGTAACGTTGAAAGCCATCATTTCAATTTCTTCATCCTCGATATCGTCTCTTAGACGTGACTCGGTTAAGGCAAGCACGGTCATTCCTTCTGTCTCAGCAATTTACATAACTACGCCAATCTTGTGGTGTTTTCTTCGTTGGAAGAGCCCCTCGATGTTGGCTATCACGATGCCAGATTCTTCCTCCCATGCGTTATCAATTGCTGCAACACTGCTATGTCAGAGGTCTCTGGCTCAGCAGCTGTTGTATTATTTGTTCCTGTAATTGCTGTTGTTGTTCCTGTGATGTGAACAGCGGTTGCATTTGCAGTTGAATCTGATCTGCTTGCCTCTGCAGGTCTAAAAAATACTGCGATTAATATGGAGTCAGTTGTTTTCAATCGGTAGGTTATGGTGCTTGCTGTGGTAATCGCTGGAATCGCCCTATTGTTGTTGGGGACTAATAAAAAATAATCATTCTCTAACCCCAAACACTTGGCCAATGATCGCAAATAAAAAGGATGAATAAAAACTGATAAGTTAAGAACTATAATAACAAAAGAACGATAAATACAAGAAACAATTTGCAAAAACTATAAACCGAGTGTCTATCTAGCCTTTGCCTATTAATTCCTGATGATGTCCTAACATCGGAGCCTCTCTCTGTGGTGGATCACATAACAATGACGAGGTACATAGCGGGTCTATACGTACGAGGTGACTTCATAGTTCACTCAAAAACAAAATTACAATCCTAACTATCGATGAAATTATTATATTTAAAAGCGGTCCCTAACATCGTTCGTCAGGTTTCGAAAGACTCGTCCTTCCCAGACCGTACCTTTTTAACAAAAATTATTGTATATCTTCATCGAGCTAGTTTGACCGGAGGAGATTGTGGGCGGTTGTTTCTCGATGTGATGCTTCAAGATGTTTCATTGCACTCCATTATTCTTATGAAATCTCATTTATTTCATGTAATTCATCTTCATTTTAATCTTCAACTTTCAATAAATATATCGTGTCGGATAGTGATGAAATTCTCTTTTTCAGCAATTTTCACTTGATTTTTGGAACCATAGAATTGAATTGTTTCATTGCAAATTACTTTGAAGCGGTTTCATTTGATAGGTGTCAAGATAAAAACCATAATCGTATACCGAGTTTTCGAAAAAGGTATTTTCATCTTAATTCTAGTGAATATGCGCTCTTCTGTGCTTTTCTCACCTTTGCGGGCTAGTTACTTGGCGCAAATAGCTATTCTCTGTACAAACATACCCGCATTATTGCACAAGAACGAGAAAATCATTTGGCAAAATCGAAGGTATAATTTAATAGAAAACTCAAGTATCTATTTATTCATTTATCATTATTATTATTTTAATTTGTCCAGCGTCCTCGATGTATTCATACCTCGGGCACGAGTGAACTGATATTAAATTTCCATGAAATTGATTAACTTCTACACTGAATAATTTCGTTGCCTTATGATTCATAAGTATTAAAATTTAATTGATTCAGGCCATTATGGAATTGTACTGGAGGAGCCGGTAGCACGCATAAAGTCTCAGGCATAATCTCAGATCTAGTGGTGAGCGTTGTTTACAGCCATGGATGCCAGATGACCTAAAAAATGGCCAAGTCCGCGAACAAAAAAGGCCTATAAATCAATATATACTAGCATATTCGTAGGTTCCGATGTAAAAATTTATTATTTTTTGTAGTTTTTAAAATTTAATTAGGAAGTACCCCCATCATAAAGTTAAGCCGGCCAACGCAATTGAAGAAAAAACTTAATCGCGGAATTTGTCCGAAAAAATACCGTCTTGCAACCATATTTCCAGCTATAGTCTGATCTAGCTCTGATTTAGTATTGGTTGCCAACTCAGTCAGTTGTCAATCGAGAAAAGTGTGAAATTATTCACTTGTGCTAATGTATACTCGATTATTATATAATAGGGTATACATTAGCATTATACATTAGCATTATACATTAGGTTAGGCTATTAGCATTATACATTAGCATTATACATTAGCATTATACATTAGGTTAGGCTATGCAATACAGGTATGAAAATGAGCTTGTTTTGAATTGGTTGAATGCGTCCATCGACAGATGAATATTATTATTCTGATCTTATAAAAATGTCGAAGCACGTTAATAAATAAATAATAATGAATTCATGACCAGCCATCGTAAGGACGACGGCTTACAGATCCCCAACTGCCTAGAACTGTAGTCTTGCACTCTTGCTCAGCAGTGCCGCTATGTTCTTGTAATATTTGTATTGCTGGGACCGACTTCACAAGTCGATATATAACTTGGTTTTCTGGCGCAGGTGCGGCGGACGACGACACGCGTCTTACAGCAACGCCCATCGAAGGAGGATTTGGCGACGTTCACAGCCTCAGGTCGTCGGAGAAACATTACTCGCAGGTGAGTATTTGCCATTTCAATTAGAGTATCATACAGGGTTATTCTAAATGATGGACCCAATTTAATAAATTTGTATTTATTTAAGAATTATTTATGCACCAAAATAAAGAATTTATACACCAATGGAAAGAGAAAAATTCAATTTTTTTACCTATTTAAACGCGGGACCAATATAGACTATTTGAATCAGTCACTTTTAAAACGTTAGGTGGGACGTATAGAAATATAGATTTGGCATTACACTCTTGGCCATTGAGATCACCTGATCTTACCCCACGTGACTGTTTCTTATGAGGTTACGTCAAGCAAGCTGTTTACGTCTCGCCTCTACCAGCAACTCTGTTTACGTCCCGCCTCTACCAGCAACTCTGTTTACGT